GCCTCCGCCCCTCCGCAAGCACAGGCTGCGGCTTTAGGGCTTTAAGATTCTTTTCCTTGCTCTCATTAATAACCCTTCCTCGGGGTTAGAGGATATCGCGGTGCATCCTGCCGGTCACGACACCAGCACTGGCAGTGCTCAGCCCCTGCCTGCGGCAAGCAGCCTCTGCTCTGCACTCGGGCCAGACCAAGAGCTTGGAAATCCCGTCTCAGTGACCTCTCATCGCTCTGCATTACAACCTGTTACACCTCAGACCTCTCCAAAACCAGCAAAGCCCACCTGCGGATAGCAGTAGAGGCCTAACACCAGGAATTTACCCCAACTACTGCATTCTGGTGGCCAAAACCTCCTGCGGCATCTACCTGGTGTGACTTCTGTGTAAGAAAACCAGCAGGGTTTGGGCAGGGCTGGGACACCACGTGAACTAAAATGGATCAGAGGAAACGTGTGAGGGCAAAACAGGGACCCCGTACGCAGTGACACGAATACATGTGACGTGAAGTGATGCTTCAGACGCGCCCTCCCGAGGGCAGGCAGGATCACAATAACACTGCCAGCAATGCAGCATTTGTGTTCTGCTGGCCGCAAGCCGGCACAGTTGCACGTGAAGCCCCATGCTGATGCTCTCTGACAGACAGACAGACAGCCATCCCACCCTTGGCACGCGGAGGAGGGCGCACAGCACTGGCCGCACCATTTAGGTATGGTACCTGAATAACCAGCAGGGTTTGGGCAGGGCTGGGACACCACGTGAACTAAAATGGATCAGAGGAAACGTGTGAGGGCAAAACAGGGACCCCGTACGCAGTGACACGAATACATGTGACGTGAAGTGATGCTTCAGACGCGCCCTCCCGAGGGCAGGCAGGATCACAATAACACTGCCAGCAATGCAGCATTTGTGTTCTGCTGGCCGCAAGCCGGCACAGTTGCACGTGAAGCCCCATGCTGATGCTCTCTGACAGACAGACAGACAGACAGCCATCCCACCCTTGGCACGCGGAGGAGGGCGCACAGCACTGGCCGCACCCTTTTGGTATGGTACCTGAATACCCAGTGCAGACCCCGCAGCTCCTGCGGGCTGGGACTTCCAGGGGTGGCTGCTGACCTGATGGGTCCTGCCCATTCGGCCAGGATTCCCGGTTACGCTCGCCACCAAAAACCCAACATACAATTGTTACAAATGACCCATCTTACACAGTTATTGTGCTGGCACCACTGCGTTCACCGTCTGTGAACAGCCCCTCTCCTGCCCCGCATCGGTGCCGGGCAATGACATCTCCAGTAGCACCTCTGAGAGAGCGGGAAGGTGTAAATAACCACCAGGCATCACTGGGAGGGACAGATTTCTTCAGAGCAAGTTACAACATGTATCGGTAAGACTCCATTACAACTTTTAAATGGGAGTCATAAAGAGATGCAAGATTTCTACCCATGCAGCTCCGAGTACACATTTTGGAAGTCGTGAATATAATTTGTGACTCTCTCTTTGCATTTAAAAAACAACAGCAATGCAGCATGTGTTCCTTTCCTCCTCAGGACAGTGTTTTCCTCCTGTTTCTCTCTCCTGGCTTGCCATCCTTTGTTTTCAGTCACTTCCAATTCCTCTTTTCTTGTATTTAAAAAAAACCACAAACACCCTTAAAGCCTTTCACTCCTACCTTTTGCTAACAGCTGTGGTACTTAACAAGGTCAAAGAGATGATACCCTTGATTTTGCATTTTCAAAGGATTTTGGCTAAGCCTTGTTGTTCTTTGGGTCCCATTAACCAGGGGACCTGGGAGCACTCCTTGCCTCCTGGCTCTGTGGGAGCACCCTGAGCAGAGGCTGGGATGGATGGGATGTGGTGTCCTCGCTCCTCACCCAACCCAGGGACCCAAAGTGCCTCAGCTGGGAGAGGGTTGGGGTGCGCTCCCACAAATCCCTGGCTGCCTTGTAGAGTATGTCCAAGCTTCAAATCAGACACAGCCTCAGTATCCTGGCCCACGTCACGTTTGCCATCTGCTGCCTCTGCTGCAGATAGAGACGTCTCTTGCCCAGCTACACCACGTCTCTTCCCAAGCACAAAGACAACAGTTCCTTCAAAAATAATCTGCTTAATGCCCACTCTTCCCCAAACTTATGCAAACCCACTATGACAGACAGAGCCACCCAACACACGTATGGAGCTGTACTACCACAATCCATCTCCTGAAGGAGAGAAACTAAACCAAGATCACACAATGGGCAGAAGGGCCCTTTGCTCTGCCCTGCTCTGGGGGAGAAAGATGCTGAAGCTCCGGACACACAACCCGTGCGGAGCTGCAGAGCTCAATGCCCAGGGGACCAGCCTGGCTCCATCCCTCAGTGCCTCACCTTTAACCCTTTCAAAAAATAAACACAGTAAAGGTACTTTTAGCATTTTAGGAAATTAACTGCTTTCCTCAATTTTTATTCATATTCACATGCTGCATTTTGGGCTCGATGAACCAAGAGGTGAAATGATGCCTGACTGAAGTCAATAGGAGTTTTGCTGCTGA